ATCCTCTTATATTTGTATATATTCTATCATGTGAAGAAATACCTTTGTCTCCTTCTTCTAAACTGGAATTCCTTAAAGAATACTTTTAGATTATCCATTGCTACCGCACAGTTTGATTTTGTCAGTGTAGAAAAAACACAATCTTTTTTTTTTTAAAGTCTGCATTTTTTTTAATATTTATCTATTTATACAAGCACTAGGTACAGTCAGAAGCACGGGAGGGTGAGAGAATTCACCAGAGCCAGAGTGGGGAGCAGAGCAGGCAGAAGGAACGAAGTACACTGCTGAGGGGAGCAGGGGGCTGCAGTAGAGGTCTGCATGTGGGACCCTCCTCCAGTGGCCGGGGAGCAGCTGGGGATCGAACCGGCGCCGCAGAGGCTGCGGGCAGCTTTGCAACCCAGCACTCAACTGCTGCGCCACTGGGGAGGCCCAGAAACAACACAAAGAGAGTTGTCAGAAAAACCCTGGCTTTGTACTACTGTACCCTATAAGGGGGGCTAATTCATGAGAATCTTCATTTCATAGTTAATTGCTGGTTTTAATTTTTAAGAATAAACTTGCCTTTAATGGATAACAGGTCTTTACAAAGAACAGAATTTTAGAGCTAGACACGAACAACTGTTTACTTTGTTGCTTTTGTGAGCATGTCCAAACTTTTAATCTTACCTCAGCCATGATATTTTTGAGCTGCAGAATACAAAGAAATTTAGCTCACCAAATACTTGCATTGGCTTTCAAAATGTTTATGGCAGCCTCTGCAGCTCTATGTTTTGCCAACTTCTTACTTGTACCTTCACCTGAATTAAGATGAAAAAAAAAATTGTATAGACTATATGTTGTGAAAATATGAAGCATATATAGATGATTTTATAATACAAAGTCACTACAGAATTTATATACTTAATAGACTAGATAAATACAAATATAAAGTCATAGTTACTAGGTAAATACAAATACACACTCATAGTTACACACTATAATAAAATAGTCCCCACATGAAATTAATACATTAAAAATCATGATTTAATGTTTCATATATTTAAGTATATGCATGTTCACATAAAAATCCTTATTATTTCTACTTAATGTGTGTCCATTACATAAAATGGTAATGAAGTAGACCATGGCATATACACCTTTGGAAAAAATGCAACTTAGTATTTTACTCTTCCCTTATTCCTAGAGGAAGAAAATTCTTCTGTAGCAAAAAGTTTTCTTTAAGGGAGTTACTTACAGCAATAGTCACTGAAAAAGGTGCACAACTGTACTCAAATGGCCCATCCTATACTAGATAAAATCTATTTGCTTGGCTAAGCTGTCACTGACTTCAAGTTAAGTGGAGAATGTTTCAGTAGGGAAGATTGTAACAGCTTCTGTTATGTGTGTTCCACATCCCTACGTGGGTAGCTAAGAGGGATAATGGACAAACCTGACTAATCACTTAGACTGGTATCTAAATTTCAGTGACCAGTCACACATGGCATTTTTCTTTCTGATTTCAAATTAGGTATTGAGAACCCTGTGGAAGTGGTATCAGAATCCAGATGTCCATTGCTCTGTGTGGAAGAAACAAAAGGCACATGGATTAAGTTTCAAGTGTGACCCTCAAGTATCAGAGGACACACATTTATCAAAGGATACTCGAGGATATTCTTTTACCCATTAACATAGGTGTTAGGGATACAGCAGAGAACAGAGTCTCTGCCTTGAAAGAGCACACAGCCTAGTGTGGGATTTTGTCTATAAAGAAGCTTCAAGGTAAATAATGGACTTCAGATTTCCAGGGATATAAACAAATGCCTTCAGGTTGCCATGGTGGACGTTCAGCCTTCCTGAATATTTTTCTTGCTAGTATTCCAAATTAAATTTAGTACCCACTATTTCTTATGCTTGTGATTAATAGATAAGGAATACAATATCTACATTTACAAAGGGGCAGTTCAGTTATTTTCTTAAACTTACAGAACATAATAAGCTATGAGTATGAACTCTGAAATGTAATTTATGAGCTCTCCAAATCTGTTCCCTCATGTATAAGAAAGGGGATAATGTCTTATTAAAATACCCGTACAGTTTCAGAAACTGTAGACTCTAGACTCTACTAAGCAATACATTGTATTTGAGCCTTCTGGACCCCTCATTTTGCTTAGATACAGAATACAGTGTTGTATAATGGGCCCAACGGGCCAAATTGTGTATTCACAGAGTGGAGAGACTCTGAAAGTTCTCAAATCATGCCTCCTGACCCAGATTTAGCCATCTGTGTTTACAAAAAAACTATGAAATCTGATAGCCCCTACTGATCCAGTACTGCTCCAAGAACAACTTCTGCTTCTCCTTGAATCTTGGAAGTATCCTACCATCCCTAGGTTATGTTTCTGAGCTTCTCTTGGTATCTAGGGAAGAGAAAATTCCAATGAAGTTGGTCTCAGTGACCTGAGATCAGACATCTCAGTTTCAAGTGCCAGCTCCCCACAAGCTACCTCTGGTGAAAAAAAAAAAAAAAAAAAAGGCACTTCTCTGAACAGAAAAGTAATGTCAAGTCTTGACAGCCAACTCTGCATGGTCATGTGGTTAACTGTGCATACAGACCTGTGCAGGTTATGTCACCAACGGTTACTCTGAAGGTGAAAGTGGGCACGTGTATTTGCACATCGGATCATTCACACTCATAGGCAGGGATGTTCTTGGTCTTCATGCTATATTCGTGTAATACCTGAATCGGCGTTTTCCCTGGTTTAGCTGTAATCAACTTCCCCAAACTGCAAGAACCAGAAAGAGGTGTGCTTTGTGTGCATGCCAAAGCGGGAAGGAACAGGATCTCAGAAGCCAGTTTTGACAGCTGCCAAGGGCGCCAAGGAGGTACTCAAAGCTCCCCAGTGGCCAGGGCCAGAACTGGCAAAGGACACCATCTACCTGCCCCAATGCGGCGGGGCTGGGGAGTGTGCGGGGGTCTTTAGGGTGATAACTTAAACGCAGGCAGGAAGGCTTCCCAGAACAGGGAGGTCACCCGTGCAGCTATCTCTCTGGACCAAGTCCACAGAGCTCTTTCCCACGGACTCGCCACCTCCGCGCACCCCACCCCTAGTCAGAAAGAGGGGCGGGGCCAGGCCAGATCCCCGCCGGCGGCGGCCGGGAGGGCAGGGCCGAGACCCACGGTCCCCCGCAGCTGCGGGGGCGGGGACGCCCCGAAGGGGCTTTACCCAGAATGCCGCGTGAGAGCCGGCTCCCGCTCCCGCGCCCCCGCCTCCCCGGCCCCGCGTCTCCGGGCCCCGCCGGGGCCGCCCCTGCTGCCCGAGGCTGACCTGAAGTTCCCGCTGTCCTCGCGCTCCAGTGGCGGGGCCACGACGCGATGCCTGCTCTGGGACATGGCGAGAAGGGACGGCTCGGCGCGGGAGGAAGGGCTGTGAGGAGCGACGTCTTCGCTCCCCGTGTTTGATGTGTTAAAAGGTGATTCTAACCCTAACCCCCCTAGGCAATTAACACCTGAGGCTACACTAGCCTTACAAAAGGTCAATGATGCCCTCAACAATCAACTGTTGCGGCTAGATTATACTAAGCCTTGGGAGTTCATAATTTTGGCCACCCCACACAGGCCAACAGGTGTTTTGTGGCAAAAGGGGCCACTGGAATGGTTACATTTACCAGTTACTGCAAAGAAGGTTGTTTGTCCCTATGCTTCCCAAGTGGCTGCGTTAATTGTTAAAGGAAGGCATAGGAGCGTTGACCTTTTTGGCCGAGAATTTCCTGTTCTTGTTTTACCTTACAAGAAAGAACAACTTAATGACTTGCTTAGTTTAAGTGATGACTGGCAAATAGCCCTGCAATCTTTTTCGGGTGAAATAAAGTTTCATTTGCCTCCCGACCCTGTGCTTCATTTCTTTAAGAAACAGGCTTTTATTTTTCCAACCATTGTTAGCGCTGTGCCTTTGCCAGAACCTGCTGCACTTGTGTTTACGGATGGCTCCTCCAACGGTAGAGCTGCTTTCGTTATCAATGACAAACCAGAGTCCATCCAGACAACAGAAACCTCAGCCCAAAAAACTGAATTATTTGCAGTTCTCACAGTATTTAAAATTTTACAAAATCAGCCATTTAACCTTTTTACTGATTCCCAATATGTAACCAGTTTATTTCCTGATATTGAGACTGCTGTAATTGCTGATGCTAAGACTACCATTGCTCCACAGCTATTGGAGCTGCAAACTTTAATAAGATCTAGGACATCCAGAGTGTATGTTGGCCATATTCGTGGTCATTCTAAATTACCAGGTCCTCTAGCTGGAGGGAATGAACTGGCCGATTTGTTGACTCGAGCAGCACTATTCACAGTACAGGAGGCAATTAATGATCATGCCCTTCATCACCAAAATGCCGCTTCATTGCGGAAACAATTTCATCTGACTCGAGAAACAGCCCGAGAAATTGTTCGCAAATGCTCGGCTTGCCCCACCACTCACCCTTCACTTCCGATGGGGGTGAACCCACGAGGCCTCAGACCAAATGATCTCTGGCAAATGGATGTCACTCATGTTACTAGTTTTGGGAGACTCAGTTTTGTCCATGTTTCCATAGATACATTTTATCATGTTATTATGGCTACTGCCCAGACAGGAGAAGCTTTTGAAGATGTCTCTCAACACCTAATGTTTTGTTTTGCCTACGCAGGCAAACCTCGTACTATTAAAACTGACAATGCTCCTGTATATACATCCTCTGCCTTTAACAAATTTTGTGCTTCATTTCAAATTGATCATTCTACAGTAATTCCTTATAATCCACAAGGGCAAGCTATTGTTGAAAGAGCCCACCAGACTTTAAAGTCTCAGATATATAAACTACAACAATCTGATTTTAAACATAGTTCGGCTCATCATATTTTAACTCATGCAATGTTTGTCATCAATTATTTAAATCGTGATTCTCAAGGATTGTCACCAGTTAATAGACATTGGGGCTCTGACCAAGTGGCCCCCAAACCTCAAGTTATGTGGAAAGATCTCCTTTCCAGAACATGGAAAGGCCCTGATGTGTTATTAGCAAATGGGAGAGGGTATGCTTGTATCTTTCCACAGGATTCGGACAGCCCGATTTGGATTCCTGACAGACTGATCCGACATCATGTCTCAAAAGCCTTCACCGACACGCCCCCCGTCAGACAACTGACGCTCCAAGATGCATAGGTGCAGCCCTCTGGGACACCACCCACCTCCTCCAAGATGTCATCGCTCCAGATCCCCTGTTGGAAGATTGTCCTCTTCCCTGCACCACCTTCGAGTTCGTAAGACGTCTTATCATGACAATTGGAATTTGCTCAAAAATCTGGCCTCTAATTCTGAACAGCTACTTATGCAGCAAAATGCACGCATCACCCTGGAGACTATGTTCCTTGCTGTGCTAGCAATCTTCTCATACAGCATATCACCAGCTTCTCCTGCTTCTCTCATGCCTTCTGTTTCCTATTGGGCTTACATCCCAGATCCCCCCTTTCTCCATCCCACTCCTTGGGGATTTCCCTCACCCCGTGTGTTCACTAATTATTCTGATTTACTAGGTGGAGATTCAGACTCTTTTGTTTTATTTAAAAGCACTAATAACTTTTCTTTTCAGGGACACATGGATTCGCCTCCTATGTGTTTTACATCCAATCCTGTCCATATGAAGTCTCAACTACCTGGCTGCCTACCTATTAATGATAAATATTTTTTGACAGTAACTTCAAAGCCTTCCTCCTCCGGACCTAACCGTGATTTATGGGTACTGCTTATATCTCTCCTTGGTCCTTGCAGCACTAATGAAAACATAGCTCGAGTTTCAGTATCCTCCACTCTCCCAGCCTGTTCAATTTATAACTCAGATAATTCCCAGAATATTATTAACACAAATCACAGATTTCCCACCTGGCATAATTGTAGGTTTCCCTCTGCAGGAATTCGTTACCAGCCTTACCAACTAATCTTTCTATTTATGATTTTTCAGTTTTTGGAGCAGTTACATCTGCCACTAATGTCCCCAAGGATTGTAGGTTTCTTCTGCAGGACGCGCTCATCTACAACCGGTCAAATCGCCTCATCCCACCCCTTGAACCTATCACTCGATGGTATTCAGCGGGATGGATTACTCCCACCTACATCATCAACACTTCGAATGGTTCCCGTGCATACCCGGACTTATTTTGCCTCCTTGCCGCCACTTCACCTGTGCTTTTTCGCTGACCTGGACATTCTGTTCATGCTGTCACCATGCGGGCTTGTGTGGGCCCCCCTCATGCCCTCCTCATTGAGGGCCCCGGACATTTAACCATTACTTATCATCACCATACTTTTCATGTTAATTGTACTGGCTGTATTCTCACCAACTGTATTACCTCTGTTGGCTCATTGTCTAAAGCTACTTTTGTTATCTTACATCAACCTCCTTATGTCATGCTCCCTGTAAGCTTACAACAGCCGTGGTATGATGACATTGGACTGTATACTCTTCAGCTTGTGGGACAGGGACTGCGTCGCTCCAAAAGGTTTGTAGCGGCACTTATACTGGGTATTACGGCACTTATTGCTATTATTAGTTCTGTTGCTGTTTCTACTACTGCTCTCGTGCAACAAGTTCACACTGCCTCCCATGTTAATGATTTGTCTCGTAACATCACACACGCTTTGATTATCCAAGACCACATTGATAATGAGTTTGAAGCTCGTTTAAATGTTCTTGAGGAATCACTTTTACATATTGGCAATCAAATTCAACACATAAAAACGCATTTGACAACCAAATGTCATTCTGATTACAAATGGATTTGTGTCACTCCACATGTTTATAACTCTTCTTCTGTTTCTTGGAATAATGTCAAAAATCATTTACTGGGTGTTTGGAATAATACAAATGTTTCCCTGGACCTTACTGCTCTGCAGAAAGATATTAAGGCAATTAGTTTAGCTCATTCCCCCTCCTCCACACCTGCAGAAGTTGCTGCTTCCTTCCTGGCTTCCTTGCAACATTATACCACTAAGGCTGCCTGGTTCCCATCATTTATTACTTTAGGTGTTGTTTTGCTTGTCACCATAATTATATTGATACTCTTCCCATTGTTTATTAAATTGCTTTTCCATGCTATCAATAAGACACATGTTGAGTTGCAAACTATGTGAATGATGGCCAAAAACAAAAAAGGGGGAGGTGCTGCAGGAGGCCTTGATGCCCCAGCCAGATAAGACACTGGCAAGCAGCGAAGCCCAAAGGGCCTCACACTGTGGGGCCGAAGCCAAAGGGCCTCACACCGTGGGGCCGAAGCTAAAGGGCCTCACACCGTGGGGCTGAAGATTCCTTGTGCCTCACACCGTGAGGTTGAAAATCTAACATTCCTTCACTTTTTGTTCTTGGTCATAAATAAGAAAAAATTTCCCAAAAAAAGTACATTAGGCACTATATTATATGCATCAGTATATTGCAAGTAAATGGCATGGAAAATTAGAAACTAATTATTAAACGATTTGGCCTACTTGACAATGGAAGACAACTTATTGAGCATGCCTGACAAGCATTACAATACAATAATCATAGTAGGTCCTTCTATTTTGTTTTCTCTTGAAGTTTCTTGGGAAAGTTTTTAATATGAAGCTATTTGAGTTAAGGAGTTTCTAGGTAGAAAAAGTTCTGATAGCTGAACAGCAGCTGGTCTCCGGCTGAAGGTCATGTGAATAGAATAGTCCTTTGATGCTTAGGCTTTAGCTGATAGGTATGCACTGGCGGTTTTTCACTGTTTTAAATAATTGTCTAAATGAAAAAATAAGTAGCTTTAATGTTAGGTTTGGTTTATTATCTGTTAACCTTGAAAGCTGCCGTCTAGCTGAGACCTGTAGGGGCCAGTAGTCTATGGGAAACATAATATACTAATTGTTTATGCTTTACACATGATAATGTATTTTGTTATTATTATTACTAATAATGAATAAATAAAGACCTGCTGAGTCTTTCGGCAGAAGATACTAACACCTCACCAAGTGTCAGTGTCTCCTCATTCCCTTTCCCTCAGCCCTTTCGTTTTTGCCGATGCCGTCTCATCCTTTCAGGAACCCCTGACACGACATTTTGCCGGAGGCTGGTCCTCGGCAAAGAGGCTTGTAGGGCAGGCATGAATCTGTGAGCCCTGACTGAGCCTCACATTTTTATTTGTTGTTGGTGCTGATGGTGGTGTTAGGGAGGGGGCTGCGTCACTTAAGAGAAAGATTTAAAGATTCCTAACGCAAAATTGCTAAAGAGCCTCCTAGGGCTCCGAAGTTGGAGGCTCCGGGGACAGTCGTCCCTGAAGGCTGCAGTGGGCTTTGCTCCACGAGCCCAGCCTGTAGGAACTCGCGGCGACGTCCGGGGTTCCCCCTCCTGTCCTGGCAGCTGGGTCCATTGTCTTCGAGGCTGTGCGACAGGGTGAATGCTGGGCCCGCCAACCCCAGGCAGGCACGATAGGTTGTAAAGGAAGGCTTGTCTGTGGACCGGTTGCCGTTGAAATGCGTCTACACACCTGTGTTGCGGGCTGTAATGGCGTTTGAGATGCACCCCCTTTGGTGGGGATCAAAAAGAGAGATTGGATGTGTCGCTTCTCGAGCCACTTGTAAAAATGACTCCTGTGCTTTCTTCGTGTTCTGGGAGATTGCGCAATACTACTATGCGTACCTAGGGGCATTATTTAAAACCATGGTTACTCACGAACCCTGATGGTACTTAAACCCCGGTACTTAAAAGCAAATGAAAAAAAATATATTATTTGGATCTTGAATTAAGTCTATGCTTTTCCTCCTACTCCCTCTACAAATGTATGCATATTAATTACTATGGGCGATGTTGTTACGTTGCTGAAAGTACCATGTAACCACTCTTTCAAAATATTAACAACCACATAACTATATATAGCAATACACTATTTCATCACTCACATTTGTTTGCTAAAATCTATTTTAGCCGCAGAATTCATTAAAAAGAAGGCAGAACCTTACATAGCTCTCTTTAAAGGTTGAGTAAGTCAGATAATGAAACAAAAACAAAATAAATGCAAGCATGACTCTATCTCAAAGAAATGTCTGTGTATCGGCTTCAGAGTAAGAAACTCCTAAGTCATAGTAAACAGTATATATAATTTGACTTTTATTCCGTATTTTCTAAAAATCTGCATGTAGTTTTAAAAAATGCTGTGAAATTACATTTTACATTAATTTTGTGCATACAAGGAAAATGAAAGAAATGTTCAATGAACTGTATATCAGAAGTATTCAAAACCACACTTCTTGTTGCTAAAATTAGCATGACTGGTTAAAGAAGGAATTCCCTTTGGGCTTAGGTCCAAGGTAGCATGATGTCCAGGGCTAACATTAATCCCTAAATTGCATTGTGCCCTCAAAACTGGCAAACCACTATCAACAGGGACACTCTCAAGGACAGTGGTAGTATTTTAGAATTATTACTTTTCTCTTTATACCTTTGTGCTATAGACTGAAATTCCAAATTGAAGTTTTTTTTTTTTTTATCAATAGTATATCATTTTACATCGTTCATCTATAATTCATTACCTGAGTGCAGCAAGGGAGGCAGTGTTGTGAATTGTACACTGGTAAACTACTTGGTGGAACCATGCTTTCTTTTAAGGTGTATAATTATATTTAAAATCAACATTTAGTTTTGTGCCTAATTTTCTTTGAAAATATGGATTTATTATCTGAGGGTTGCAGTTGATGACGTTTTGATACCATATTAATATGTTTGCTGCCGCTACCAAGAGCTTTGTCAACCAAGTTGGAGATGGAGGGAGATTAGTTCCTGTTCCAAGTCTCAGTGAGGCTGACAGATACCAACCTCTAAGTCTGGTGGTAAAAAAGAAGTGGTGCTTTCTGCTTCCTAGATATAAATTTACTTCCACGCCTTTTACACTGAAAGATATTCTTCTAGGAGACAGAGAAATTTCAACTGGTAAGTTTAAATATCTGCTTGGTAGTAACTATTCATTCAGCTCTTTGTTATAATCTAAACATAGCTGTGTAAACACTACTTATGTTTGTGATATTGTATCTCACTTATAAAACCAACTTTTGTTACAATAGTAGTGTAATATTAATAATGCCTAACGTTTATATAGTATTAAATCTTATTGGTTGAATAATCTTCAAACCTATTTTATAAGATAATTCATTGTATAGTTTTATTTCAGTTGTTTTATAAATTGTATTAGCCAAATGAACTGAGAATATGAATTGATGTATTTCTTCATCTGTAAGATAGGGGTATCATTTAGTCTTACCTATCTCATTGAGTCAAATGATATGAAAATAATGTGTTTATTTTTATGATTCAGCTATTACAATTGGTAAACTGAAATGTATTTTCAGGATAGTTAGAGATAAGTGGGCATTTTGACAAATTATTTCTCTTAAACATTTGTTTTTCTTTCAACCCACCAGTGGATCTTGATGCTTAAAAAGTTGTTGAGTGAATTTTAGTTTAAGTATTCCAGGTATTTATTTTTGTTGTTAAATTAGTTGATTTGCTATTTTGATCTTGGTTTGAAGTGGTATCTTTTCATTAATATTTAGGTAATCAAGTCTTGCATAGTAAATTAACATGCTATTTTATATGATCTACACTAGAAAATTCAAGACATTTAAAAATATTAATTTCATTTTCTGAAAGGTATTTCATCTTATCAATTACTGAATTATGAAGATGAATGAGATGTGTCTCTTTATGGAAGGCGAGGCAACCATATTGTCAATGATGTTGGGATTAATGTTTCTGGATCAGATTCCTTTGCAGTAAAAGCTTCATTTGGTGTAGTAAACAAATATGAAGTAGAAGTACCAAATTACTCAAGGAAATTACTACCCGGTCAGTATAATTGTACTTAATGTATTCCAATGTTTTCATTAACTATTTTAATTACATAAATTATATCAACTTTATTACAAAGAATGAAATGTTCTCTGTAAATAAAACATTCAGGTTATATTTAATAGAGTAATTTGTTTTGATTTGTTTGAAATACTACAAATTATATCCAAACTTTGGATAAAGGTAGAAGTCTAAAATCATTTGGTTTAAGCAGAAATTTTAATTATTCCACACAATCGCTCTGGCTCTGAATACATTTGCTGAATTATTTGATTGCTGAATTATTTGATTAAAAGAATATAGGAATCTGCTGCAGCAGACATGCTGAATGCAAAGTCCTGTAATAAACATGTTTTTAAGAAATAGAGAGGAAGATTATTAAATGTCTTTGGAATATACTTTCTAATTTGTATTAGGCCTGCCTTGATTTACTTTTAGTTAAGATGGACCATGACCAAGTTAACACATTATATCAAATATGTACTTAATTATAACTGTAATTAGATGTCATAGATTCTTGTGAATGACTCTTTATTTTAGAAAAATTAATTTTGACCACAGCTTAATACGTCAGTCAAGGAGCAACAGAAAGGCAGTATTATGCGTGGTCATGGAGAGCATTCGAACCACACGACAGTGCTCACTGTCTGTGCATGCTGGAATTCGTGGAGAAGCTATGAGGGTACATAAACCACACTCATTAATTTATTTTACTAAAAAGCTGCAATGGGAATTTTTCAAAAGTACTTTTCAGTGAGAGTTGTGCATTTTGTCAAATGTTGAGATAATGGAGTTGTAATACTATTGAGAAGCATCTAGGATTTTGTACAGAAATGGTTTCGTTTTAGATATGAAAGAACATTTATATAAAATACATATATATTTATATATATTATTTATATATTTATATTATATTATGTAATATAAGCAAAACACTAATCTTCGTGAATTAGTGTGCATACTGGAGTCCCTTCTATTGCTATTCAAGTACTGTTTTAAGCAAAAAATCAGAGGGTGATGTTGAATTCTTTGATTTTATTTTTAAGTGATGTGGTTTATACCTGTATTTTGGAAAGTTGAATTTATATTTTTACATTAATTTTTCTAAAATAATATTGTCTTTAAAAAATAATATTGTCAATCACCAAACATATTTCATTCAGCATTAAATCCTTTAAAAAATTTTGAGATTTAATTTTTATTTCAATTATATTATTTGTCCTTGTCATTCGGTGACACATAATAATGACTTGGTTTTATGAAAACCAATTGTTAGAAAGAGAGTTCAGCGGTAATCTTTGCAAATAAAGGATTCTGTTCAGTGGCTACATTCAGCTGCCCACCAAATTGATTACCTTTGAATCATTTGGGGGGCAGGAACTGAAATTTTTCCTTAATTTTTGGTGATTGCTTTGGAAAATAAGCTGAAGATTGCTTGAGAAAGCTTTGGAAAGCTTGGGGGGCCTTGAAACAAAAGTCCAAAGTTTTAGTTCAAGATTTGTAGTCCAAAGCAAAATACTGCTAGAGTATTACTGTTTGAAGCACTAATCATTGATTGCAATACAATGCAAATGATAAAGTGGTTGAGGTTTTTCTTAACAGAGATTATGAGTCCAATGGGACTATTTGTACCTTTGCTAATAAACAGTTTAATTCAAGTACGATAATTCTTTAAATGAGGGGCTGTGTGTGTGTGGTTGGAGAATAGTAGGAAATGTTTTTCCTGTTCCACAAAGCTATCCTTATATAACATGTACATTAATATTATTATTTATTTAATATAGTTTCATTTTATGGATGAACAGAATCCCAAGGGAAGGAAAAAAGCTATTGTTTTTCCAGCACACACAACCATAGCTTTCAGTGTTTCTGAACTCTTCATCTACTTGGATGGTGCCTTTGGTAAGTGAATGATTGCATGAAACACTCAAATGATTTTACTTTTAAGAAGAATTTAATGACAAGCTCTCTCTTCTAATGATTATAGAATCCTGTGCTAGAGTGAAGTGCCTGGGAAAGATCCTCTTGTCCCTATTTTCTTCAGTTTTGCTCATTGTGGAACACCCCTCCCCCCACCTCTCCTTATGAAATAACTTTAAAAGAACAAATACTTCT